CACAATGTCATCATAGTAATTCCATTAATATGCCGTTCTATTCATTTCACATAATCACACACAATTATTCTGAATTTGTATATCATGCTTCACTTACTCATATCAATATCATTTTCATTTAGGCATTATTAATCATTAATAATCCATGAAAATCCCGTCTAATTACTTTAGGCAATCTTATGAAATTAACTCACTAATTATAAGCAATATAGTCAGTCATCCTCACCTCGTGATGTGCTACAATAGTTGCCTTTGATAAGCCCCTCGATAAATCCCCGTTCTAAGCCGTTTGAAAGAGAAAAGCTGGATTTCTGGGCCAAAGCCGGGCGGCTTTCACGAAAGCCGGGCGGCTTTCGTAGTCTGCAACTACGAACAGCTCCCTATATGTGGCGGTTTCCGGCAATTTCGACTCCTATCGATTCACCAACTCTTCTAAGTTAATTAACACCACTTTATAACAATATTCTACACTTTTAAACGTGTAGAACTCATGGTTTAATCCACCATATGATTTTCTCAAAAATCATACACAAGAAAACTAGTTACAAGATTGTTTGTTGAGTTCTTACCTCAAGAACAACCCCTCTTTCCTTGGATTTCCTTTGTTGTTGCTTCCTCCCCCTATGGATTAGCTGAGAGAGTTTTCTGGAGCTCCCTCCTCTTAGTTGGTTCGAAATTATGCAAGAGGGAGGGTGGGGGAGTGTCCTACTCAATCACCTCCTATCAAAGGTGGGATAGGAAACATGGGGTGTGTGATTGTCTCTTGGAGACTTCCTACCCACTATGTACGCCCCTCCCAGCTGCCTTCTGACTATTTGTGATACATAGAATCGTGGGGTGGCCCCCACTCATGTGGGAGGTCATCCCCTTATGCCCCGATGTGTATAATCGGCCCCGAAAGTTATATTATTCGGACTGTTTTAGTCATATTTTATTTTATCGGGCCGGATAAAATATATCACGCGTTCCCAATAATTATGGGCCTTTAGAATAAATATACATTCCCCAACATTAATTTAGGAGTCTCCGAAACTCATTTCGGGTTGTTATCCGCTAAATTACCAATACCGGTAATTGGGCCCCGTTTGACCAACCGGTCAACTCCATGCCTTTCTTATGGCCCAAATAAAATATTCACCACCATATAGATGTCATCTAGACCAAGATGAATATAATATGTGGTTCGGGAATTATCGGGCGGTCCCCGTTCCCGCTGTGGGCCCCACATGCAATTTACTATTCACGTAAAAGAAATAATAAAATTTAACAATTACGTAAATTCATAAATCATCTTTCGAGGTTTATTACATAATTTACTAAAAGTAAATATGCTTGGGGACGGTGCTACAAAGGTAACAAGAAGGGAAAAGGGGGAGTTGAAAATAAAAGAAAATATAGCAAAATGTTGATTGGAAAAAAGATCTGTTACAAAAAGAAAATAAACTAGAAGTGAAATACATAAAATCAGAAATGAAATAAAAATATAGGAAGAAAAAAAAAATACAAAAAATATGTTTGTGCCTGAAATCTTAAAGAAACACTCTCCTAATTAATAGAGTGGGAAATAGAATACATAAATATGAAAAAGAAATAAATAAAAGATGAAAAATGGGAAGAAAACAAATATTGCCGAGGCATAAAAATAAAGAAAGAAAACTAGTGGGAAAAATGATACATGACATTGCCATGAGAAGATTATTTTTTAATATTTTCAGAAGAAAAGGTAAAAAATGAAATAGCAGGTCATCATGTGGCCTGATTAGGGTCCAATTCAATGAAAGAAAATGATTATAAAAGTGAGATTATTTTGAAATTAGTTAAATAAATGTATTATTTTTAGAAGATGGATGAAAGGTAAGATTATTGATTGACTAATGACTATTATCAAATTTTCGTATTATGATGTGAAATCCATTTCGGTTTATTGTACGGAGCAACATATACGTACATTGAGTGCATTCTACTTCACTTTTGCGTTATGCAAATGGAGCTTGCTCAATGTTTACGTATCATGTAGCTTCAACTTCAACTTTTCTTTTTTTTTTTAAAAAAAGATTCTTTGGCATAGCAGAGAGTTTTAAAATAAAAAAGATTCTTTGGCATAACAGAGAGTAATATGTGAACCATCTCAATTAATTCTTCCAACTTTCATTTTTGGAAAAAATATGTGATTCACATGCATTCACTTTTTTCTTACACAATTACAACCATACATTTCCACTTTGTTCCCACTATCTAAATTTGCGAGTAAAGTCAATTTAGGAATAACTCACTGGGACGGAGGGAGTATTTCGTAATACTTCCTTCCTTCTTTTTTAGTTGTGACACTTTCATTTTCATGTTTGTCGATGTATAACTTTAACCATTAATATACTTAATTCCCTATTCCTAAAAGAAATAATAAAAATTGCATGTTGAAAATTTAAAGGAAAAATTGATTGTAATAATCCCAACTATTGGCGGTCTGCTTGTAATAATCTAAAATGTCGATTATCTCAGAATAATCCCAATTTTAACGACCTTTTGCCAATAATGGTCCGACATGACAGGCTATAAATAAATTCCTATAGTTTCTAAAGTGAATGAGAAGAGATAACAAGTAATCCCTATAAATAATTCAACTTTTAATTTTTATGCGTTATTTCTATTTAAAATTCACTTTTTATAGCCAGTCATATCTGGTCATGGATCATTATTGGCGGAAGGTCACTAAAGTTGGGATTATTCTGAGATAATCAATAGTTGGGATTATTATAAGCGGACCGCAAATAGTTGGGATTATTACAATCAATTTTTCCAAATTTAAAATGAGAAGAATTTAATTATATTTTAAAAAAAATATTTTTTTAATGCACTGAATAAAATACCATCAAAGTAAAAATAATCAAAGTAAAGACTATAATAACTCTCTTATACTCCGTATTAATGAGGAGCAACGTGCTCATATATATTCGTATAATATAATACATACTACGTATAATAGTATAATAATAACTCTCTTATATTAATGAGGAACAAAGTGCTCCCACATACTCCGTATAAAACTAGTCAATCCACATATGTGTGTTGCACAAATAAGGATGAAAATATTTTTTCCCTCAGTAATGTATATACACATACTTATTGTATGAAAATATTTTTTTTTTGGAAGAATTTGGCTTAAATCGAAATCTCAACATTTAGATGATGGGTAATCCGACAAGTAGAATCCTAACAACCGTCGTCCCGCGAACCAGACTCAGAGTTAATCACCTTATCAGAAGTAATATAACTCGATGATCCATTAATGGGCACAAATGAGCCAAAAACGGTCACCATATTCCTCTCATCCCCCATATCCAAAATCAATGTCTTACAAACTCGAATAATAAAGGAAAAACAAATAACAAAGCAGGCATAAAAATCACTGGAAAAATAAACAAAACAAATAAGATAAGTCTTCTTCCAAACCCTAGATTTACTTGCAATCCATGGCGGCGGGTCGGCGGGTCAGGAGGGGGACGTGCCCGCCGCTTATCCACCACAATCTCAACATCAGCCTCATCTGGGTCCAGTTCTTCTTCCTCTACCCCACTCGCTATCTTCTTGTATTTGTCCACGAAGCTATCCATGCAAAACTGTTGCTCTAATCCTCTGCCAGAAACTTCGAACCTGCTCATTGTAGAGACCCAACACCTCGGGCACAATTAAAGCAACCAATGAATGTTTTGCTCGAATCAACCAAGATAGGTCCCAAAACGATTAGGTCGATGATCCCAATCCCAAAAAAGAAAACACAAAAACGATCTGTTATGCCTATATCAGCAACTAACAGACGCAAAATCCAAACTCGCACCACGACCGAACAATCGTAGCCGGACAAACGCCCCTAGGAAAACCCTAAGAGGCGGTGCTGCACCAAAGCTTATGAAACTCGCAGGACTTTCGGTGCAACTCCAGAAAAATCATTAACAACGTCACTAAACTTATTGTATGAAAATCATTAAAACACAATATATAATTATATTAGAGTACATTTTTTGGAACATATTAGAGTACATGTATGATAATTGCTAGAGATACGATGATTAATACTCCGTATAAAATTACCAAATAAACATTTTTCCATTCCCAATTTATACTTTTAATGAAGATGGTAACAATTAATATCATATTACAATCTCATACTTCCTACCGAGTATTATTTAGTTATAACTATGTTGATTATTCTATACATTACAATTTTGGGTACTTGATATATGTAATTATCCTGAAAAATCGTTAGTGAATGATTTATCTAAACATGCGTTTTTCAAACCATTAAAAAAATGTGTTTGTTGTTTTTACATGGTGCAAATAAAATCATGACGTGTGTTTGTTGTTCAGACAGACTAAGTGCATAAAGTAGTGATGTTTATTTAAGGATGTTATTATTTGGATTGTTTTGAGTCTCAGACCCGACCAGATTTAAACAGATCAGGTCAGATCAGATCAGACTCTCATAATTATAAAATACATAAAGATCAGACATTTATCAGACCAGTCTAGTTCAAACCAGACCATACTTAAACAAATCAGATTAGACTAGACTAACAAATATCAGTCCAAGTAAAAACATCTGAAGTCTCGTGGTGCCAAATCAGACATGACTTTGGTAATTATAAGTGCACAGAGATCGAACATTTATCACACCAAACCAGATCAGATCAAATCAGACCAGCAAATTACAAAGCCAAAACATCTTGAGTTGTCCCCCAACAATTGATTATAAAATACAAAGGGAGAACTATCAGATAACTGAGATAAGCCCTCGAATTTTCATAAAAAGTGCAAATAAGCCCTTTTATAGGAGACTTTGTCCGTCCGTCGACATTTGGGGTGGTTTCCAGTGGAATTTTTTGATGAAATTATTTTAGCATCTTCTTGATTAAGTCTAGTTTACTCATACCAAATTTCAGCAAAAAATTCAATCGAGAAAGCAATCAAATGATTTTCTGAAATACACTGTGCTCTCTAACTGCGCAGTTTGCTTCAAAAATTCATTTGATTATCTTCCCGATTGAATGTTTAGCTGAAATTTGGTTTGAGTAAACTAGACTTAACGAAGAAGATGTTCAAAAAATTTAATAAAAAATTCCATCGAAAACCGCCCAAATGGCGACGACCGGATAGAGCCTACTATAAAATAGGTTATTCGAACTTTTTATGAAAGTTGAAGAGTTTATTAGATATTTCTCCTAAATACAAATCAATCTTTGACTACGGCTTTAATACTTTAATGGTCTTTGGATTGCAGGAGGTGAGTAAAGGGGATCTTTCTTTGTAAGAGCTAAGCTTTTATTTATTTCCATTTGGTCCTGATAAGTTGTTTAACTATATGCCTTGATCCTTTCCTATTACAAGCTCTGGTTCATTCTCAGTTTTCGAGAAGGTAATTGGAATGTTCCGCGCTAAACATTGTAAAATTGTGTTTTTGCAAATGGAGAGGAAGAAATGAGATGGTTTTAGCTTTGTGTGTGCCTCTTCTCACTTGATGATATTTGTCATGACAAGCTTCTCAATCTCAGACTAGGAAATGGAGAAGAGTACTTCAAGCAAGGATGATGCTAGTAATGATCGGAACACAAAGATCAAGGAAGGCTCTTGGTTAAACCAGTTTCGGTATGGCTCCAATCCTTGGATGGCTAGATACGTCTACGGCTTTATGTTCATGATCGTAAACTTGTTGGCGTGGGCTATTCGTGATTATGGCTCAATTCTTATGAAGGAAATGAAGAGTAAGTATGTCAGGCACCAGCTTTCATTTGATGATGATTTGTTGAAAATGGTATTTGATCTTCCCTACCAAGAAGAGTTTTAATTAAAAAACTTTGTTGAAGAGTTTGTCTTACATCAATAGATATGAAACAACAAACCAACATTTAAACCTTTGAACTAATTTTGTATCAGATTGATTTTATTATACATTTGTTATTTCATATAGCCGATGTGGGAGAAACTCTTCAATAACTTCTCTCTAAGAAAATGGACACTTAATGCTATTTATGTGGCTGCAGGGGTAAAAGATTGCAATGGTGGCGCAGATTGTTTGGGTACTGAAGGAGTTTTGAGAATTAGCTTTGGATGTTTTGTATCCTTCAATCTCATGTATATTCAATTAACTTTTCAGTTCTGGATTTGATGTTTTCTTCACAAGTGTTTTAGCCAGATCAATTATACTATCTGTGGTCCTCCAAAAAGATAACAGACTTGACCAAGTTAAGTTTTTTTCTTGGGGAGGGGGGGTCCAAGGTGTTTTTTTTAATATGGCTCCATTTTTTAGTGACTTATAAAAGGAAAGTTGGGAGTTCGGCCTTGACATTTTCTTCTCAGATGTTCTATTTTGTGATGTTTCTATCTACAGCAGGAACATTAAAGCTGAATGGTTGCAGAGAAAAGTGGCACTCTGGGCGATGGCTATCCAAGATGGGCATGATGCTTGCACTAATTATACTTCCATTTCTTCTTCCTATAGAGATCATTTCAATCTACGGTTAGTGCAAAATATAAATGTCACGTTTCATCTCATTTTTTGGTTAGCGCCTAGATTTGCATGTTAGAAAATATTTATTTGACGTCTCACATTTTTACTTTTATGATACTATCTTTTTCTTTCATTCTTCTTTTTAACAGCTGAGGTGGCACATTTTGGAGCCGGGTATGCATCTTACATAACCACTCTAATTAGGGTGAGATTAACGTTGTAAATAACTTGTGAATGTGCTCAATTTGTAGGGTTTTTTTACTAATTCAGTTGGTTAGCGTAATCAGTTTCATCACATGGCTTAATGATTGTTGTCACTCTAAGAAACATGGTGATAGATGGTAAGTAATAGTTCTGCAATGGCTCAAGTCAGGCTATAGATAAAATGACATCAAAGGCTGCATGCACTTTTTCGGCCTCTATGTTTCAATCATTTTTTTTTCCACACCGGTTTTAATGTTAATATCTTAGCACAGCCACATTCATGTGATGATATTTTCAACGGTTGCATACATCATTTGCTTACTCGGGATCATCTTAATGTACGTTTGGTACACACCAGAACCGTCTTGCCTTTTAAATATATTCTTCATATCGTGGACTCTAGCTCTTCTCCAGGTTATGACCAGCGTCTCTCTCCACCCAAAAGTGCGTAAGTCCCATTATTTGTGTTCGTTTTCATGTGCTCTACTTCAATGAATTAAGATCCTAAACGGTGTTTCTCAAAGAAGTAGGGACTTACTAGTCCTTGTTCTTATATGTTTGTTTTTATTTGATATCTGCGTTTTTTCATTCATGGATTATGATATGGAAACAGGTGAATGCTGGCTTCTTGACTCCTGGTTTCATGGGCCTATACATTGTGTTTCTCTGCTGGTCTGCCATTAGAAGGTAAGAAAAAGTTCAATTAGAGCAAATTGTATTTTTTTCAGTTTATTTGTTTATTATGGTGAGCACATATTTCTGCAGTGAACCGCCTGAAGAAAAATGCATCCGAAAGGCGCAAGGTGCTTCTTCTAAAGCAGATGCGCTTACTATCATAGTAATTCTTAACCATCTCTATACATCATCCTTATAAGAGGGTTTGCAGAAGAGATGTGAAAAGTAGTATGCAATATAACCTGCTGTTATTTGGTTCTTTTCTTTCTCACTTGGATAAACTTTTTGGCAGAGCTTCATTGTTGCGGTCCTTGCAATTGTGGTTGCAACGTTTTCTACAGGAATTGATTCTAACTGCTTTCAGGTTTGCATAATAGTCTTTACTTTTAAAGTGTTTCACACGGTGTGATTTATCTGACCCAAAGCTTTGCTCGATCTCTTGCAACAAAAGGTTCAGTTCTGGAAGGATTCTGAGGTACAAGTAGAGGAGGAGGAGGATCACGTTCCATATGGTTTTGGATTCTTCCACTTTGTTTTTGCGACAGGCGCCATGTACTTCGCAATGCTATTGATAGGCTGGAATGCTCACCAAGTCATGAAAAAGTAGGTTTACAGCTAGTTGTTGGTGTTAATAACTAACTGCAGTATAGGTGGCCTGGAGCTAATGGGTTGATTTTGGTGCAGGTTCACAATTGACATTGGGTGGACAAGTACTTGGGTGAGGATAGTGAACGAGTGGTTAGCTGCTTGTGTGTATAGTAAGTATATGCTAACTAGCTCATTCAAGTTACAAAAATCTTGCTGCAAATAAAATACTTATATCTGCCTGCCTTGTGTGCGGACAGTATGGATGTTGGTTGCCCCAGTGGTATGGAAATCCAAGCAAGCAGGCGAAACCTAATCCCAGCCCGATACGGCTCATGTACTTTTTCTCATTTTCTTCACTTTCAAATTAAAGCCTTAGCTACGAAATTCGCCTCATTCTTTGCGCGGCCGCTCCGTCAAAGCTACAAATATCGATGACAGAAATATATTTTAGTGATGCATACATCATTACATTGGGTTTGGAATGAGAAAAAGTACATGGTCATGTAATTTTGAGTCGCGGGAATTTTTTTATTACTTGTAAAAATGAATTCAATGTACCGAAGTACAATGTATTAAAGGTTACCTTTACGAACAATGATATATTTGTAGCCCAAATTCACATAAAATTTGCACTATGAGCCTATTTGGTATTACACATTAAAACTTTGCATAGAAAATATAACATTACGTATCCAAGTCTTTACTTGAAAATACTACGTACGGAGTATAACTTTACAAGGTGTAAAATAAATGTCTTAGGTACCTTTATTAGCAACCGGTACTTACCAACAATGCAAACATGGATGTTCACATAAGCTACTCTTTTGGGAAGAGAATCAAGAGATTACTAGGGGAGTGATCTTTCAAACTCGCCAGTTGAGTTGACCTTTTTATGCTCCTCACAAATGATGAAAGTGATTTTACTTGTAAGCTCATAGTTGTCAATTGTTATTAATTACTGTAATACCTATTGGGCAGGTCTTGTTATTGGGCAGATCTGGTTATTTGTATAGTCCTCATTCAAAAGGAGTGTTTTTTTTTGAAAAAGTGATTTATAGTAGGGAGAACTATCAAATAAGCTCTCGAACTTTCATAAAAAGTTCAAATAAGCCCTTTTATAGGAGGCTCTGTCCAGACATCGCCATTTGGGGCGGTTTACGGTGAATTTTTTTGATGAAATTTTTTGAGTATCAAATTCTTCATTAAGTCTAGTTTATTCATACCAAATTTCAGCTAAAAATTAAATCGGGAACGCAGTCAAATGAATTTTTGAAGATAACTGCGCAGTTAGACAGCGCAATATATTTCAGAAAATCATTTGACTGCCTTCTCGATTGAATTTTTAGCTGAAATTTGGTATGGGTAAACTAGACTTAATGAAGAAGATGCTTAAAATTTGCTCTTTTATCATGTATTGTTTAAAAATAGTATTGATTTTAATACAAAGGGAAAAGATACAAATATACACCCTATATTATGGGTGTGAGATCAAATATGTCTTTGTTCTATTTTTCGGAACAAATATACCTTTGAAGTATATGTGAAAGTGCATATATACCTCTGAACTTTTATAATGTGCAAAAATACCATTCATGTTCTTATAAAAGAGCAAATTTATCATTATTGACTTTAAATTGATCAAATAAATTTTAAAAACTCCAAAAAAAATTATTAATTTGATATACTTGTTTCCAATAATTCCTTTTATTGTTTTTATATCACAATTTAATATTGTTAGTATAAAATATTGTTTTAAAACTTTACTATATATTTTAGATTCTTTCAAAAAATTGTTAACATATGTGTTGCAATGTAAAAAAATTAAGCTTTTGCATTCTTTGCACTATAAAATTACATGTTTTGTATGATGATAAATAGTCCAAGATTACAAAATAGTGAAATTTAATTTTATTAAGGGTAAACAAAATCAAAGAATGTTATTTCAAAAAATGTAACAATGTGTTCAAAATTTCGCAACAAGACTAAACTTAATATTTATAAATTTGAAGTGCTTCATTTACAAAGGAAAAATAATAATTTTGCAATTTAAGTTAATATTTCAACATAATACTAATAAAGCTTTATTTTAAAATTTCGCATGTATAATTTATTTTTGGTGTTTTTTAAAATTTATTTTATCTATTTAATATCAATAATGGTAAATTTACTCCTTTATAAGAGCGTGAGGGGTATTTTTACACTTTTTAAAAATTCAGGGTATATAAGCACTTCAACATACGATAGTATATTTCATGGGAACATTTGTTCTGAAAAATAGAACATAGATATATTTGTTCTCACGCCTATAGTACAGGGTATGTTGTACATTTTCCCTTAACAAAAAATGTAAAAAATTGGAATGTTTGGTAAAAAATGATTTTTGATGTGATATTTTGTCAAAAGAGAAAAATGTTCTTGTTATATCTCCATGTACTGCACATAAATTATTCGGGAAAAGGCTCGAAATGGACACTAATGACCTGTTTGGATGAGGTGTTCAAGATTAGTAGTGAGAGTGTTAAGAAGTGTTGATTTTCACACGTGTTTGGGAGAATTTTTTTAAACAAATTGGGGTGTTAGGTAAAACTTCTCTAACACCCCATTATGTGTCTTTTTTTAACACTCCAAATTGGAGTGTTTTGAAGTGTTGGACATGCCTTTCCCTTTCAACCTGTCGTTCCATCTTCATTCCTATCTTCCGTAGTTCTGTTTCCCCCATTGGTCATTACTGTGGTCTTCTTTGTTAGATTTTCTCCATCTCCAAATCAATTCTGATTTAACCTTCTTCGAAGTTGGAGTTATGCACAAAAAAACTAGAAGCACTTAAAAGCACCCCTAATCATGCTTTTGACTTTAAATATGTTAAAAGTACCGAAATGATGGCTCCTTCTCTCTTTAGGGTGGTTTGCACCGCTAGAGTTTTTTCTTCCGCTATCGTTTTTTAACGAGGAGCGGCCACCGCAGACGCGCTTAGGCATACAAGGTTTCTTTTTCCACCATTAGATGTGCGGCTATTTTTCTTCTTTTGCTTTGGCGAGGTTAAGCGGATGGAAGAGGATGTTTGGTCTCAGGCAGTTATGGAACCATACAATAATTTGAGGGGGTGCTCTTATTTATTTTTTGAAAAACAATTTTTTATTAGGATAAAATAAAAATGAGTGAAAAATGAGAACGGGCACACTTTTTACTTGCTTTGGTACACTAGTAGATATTTATTTTACACTTTTTCGCAATGAGAGAAAATTTTGATTTATTTATCAAATTGTCACCGAGATTTTGATAAAATATAGTGCATTGTTGGCTGATTTTGAGTCATCGGATCTCAAGTTAAATGCACAAGCTTTATTTTCGATCAATTTTCATGATAAGAACTCTTTTTATTTGATCCAAAACTTATACTCCATATATATGTATATGTAGTGTGTTTGAAATAAAAATACTTAAAAATGCACAAGATATATTAACTTAAAGTAGTTTTAGATGATAAAAAAAACTTAAAGTAGTTTTAGAATTATTCTTGACAATAAATTAAATGACAACGTCCAAATATGTCATTATTAGAAGAAGAAGAAATGATAAAAAATAATTTGAATTGAAGAAATGAGAATCTCACATAAACGTCCGTATATGTCATTCTTGAAGCCCCTCCCAAAGCACGCCTTGCACGGCGCCTTTGGCGATCCTGTTGAAATTGACGGAGTAGTTCCTCCATCCTTTCTAGAGCGTCATCATCGTCGCTCCCCTCACTGGCATCATCATATTCCCCATCATATGGGGTCTCAACCGGCTCAGTTCCCGGTTGATACGTCGAATCCTCCTCGGACTCATAAGACTCGTTGACTGTTTCAACATAACCGTCACTCACGGTCTTAGCTTGGCCTCCACGGCCCTGTCTTCTGGACACCCTAGAAGCCCCTCTACTACCATGCATGGATCCTCCCGGTGCTCGGCCAGTCCGGTTCCTTCTAGTTACTTTCCCGGTACGTTCCATTTCTGAAAGAAATTGAGAATGAGTCATTAGACTCGTATCAAATGTCAATTGACGGATAGGTACTTAAAGACATCCTTTGGCTCAAATCACCGTCATACCAATTGTTAAGGGTACCATCTTAACAATTAGAGACATTGCAACTCAAGTACCAAAAGTTCTATAAGTACAAAACCTTATGCTCATGGTTTTCAAATTCATTTTCAAAAAGAAATTTTGAAGCTTCATTATGATGTTTACGAACTAAGGCTCTGATACCAACTAAATTGTCACGCCCCGGACCTACCCGGACACGTCAACAACCCGCTGTATAGTACGAATAGTCAACCGCAGTCCGACTCATCCATACTATACAAGGCGTCTTGAATACTATTCACACATAGTACATCCATAAACAAACATAATGTAAAATAAACATTTATAGCAGCGGAAACATTTAACATAAGTGTTTATGCCACACCTTGGCAAACATGGGCGTACAAGCCCCAAATAATTATAAAAAACAATATCCATGAGCATTATTTAAGTTGTTTTCAAAACAGAAACGGAAGAAGCACGAACCACGTCTTCTTCCTTTGATCTTCCCGAAGCAACGGGCGGTGACAGCAACCTTCAAGTTCTACCTGAAACTGTGAGGTGGCCTCCCCCGTGAAGGGGAGGTCAGTACTTGGAAATATTTGACAAGTACAATAGCAACTATACTAAGTATAATTGATGTTTTAATTTCCAAGACCGTCGACTTAGGGTGCTATTATATTATAGGCCATAACCCTCGGTTACCCCTTTTTCTTTTAACCGTACTTACTTTATATAGAGTCAAGTAGTCGGCCCGTGGGCCCATATTCATTTAGAATTCATCATTTCCATTCCCCCGTGACCGCAAGTCACGATAACCCCGTGGGGTCCTATCGAGCCCCCAATTGTATAGCAAGGGCTCAGCCCAACTACATTTCTATACAATACTCTAACTCAATATAACACATCAAAATTGTATGGCAAGGGCTCGGCCCAACTACGTTTCCATACCAACCATAACTTCGTGGCAAGGGCTCGGCCCAACTACGTTTCCACAAAGATCACAAATACATGGCAAGGGCTCGGCCCAACTACGTTTCCATGCTGATCACATTACATGGCAAGGGCTCGGCCCAACTACGTTTCCATGTCATACTAGAGTCCAACTCTAATTATTTTCATAATCCAATTCTCAACCAAATCCTATGCCTAGAATCAATTCCCTTGGGTAGCCTTTAGGCCTACCCCTAACACACCTTAGTGTTCATACAATGCAAGCTTAAAGTATCTCTTGAGACTACTTAAGGCATATCTATTCACAATCCTACCTCTTAGGATTTATTTCATCATTTATTTATATTAATCCCCCGACTAGTATTTTGATACTAGTTGGATAATCTTAGGACATGCCAAGTTCCTGTTTTCAAATTGACATTTCATTTCAAGTGATTTTCCAACCCAAGTATAGTTTAATCTCAATATCAAAAATATCACTTTAATCCATTCATGAATTTCATACATGAAGTAAAGTATATTTTATCACAATGTCATCATAGTAATTCCATTTACATGCCGATCCATTCATTTCACATAATCATACACAATTATTCTAAATTTGTATATCATGTTTCACTTACTCATATCAATATTATTTTCATTTAGGCATTTTTAATCATGAATAATCCATGAAAATTCCATTTAATTACCTTAGGCAATCTTATGAAATTAACTCACTAATTATAAGCAATATAGTCAGCCATCCTCACCTCGTGATGTGATACAATAGTTGCCTTTGTTAAGCCCCTCGATCAATCCCCGTTCTAGGCCGATTGAAAGTGAAAATCTGGACTGCTGGGCCAAAGCCGGGCGGCTTTCGTAGTCTGCAACTACGAACAGCTTCCTATATGTGGCGGTTTCCGGCGATTTCGACTCCTATCGATTCACCAACACTTCTAAGTTAAATACCACCACTTTATATCAATATTCTACACTTTTAAACGTGTAGAACATCATGTTTAATCTTCCATATGATTTTTTAAAAATCATACATGATAAAACTAGTTAATGCATACTAGTTGGATTCTTACCTCAATTCCTAGCTTTTCTTCTTGGATCCTTCTCTCCTCTTGGTTTCTTCAACTCCAGAACTTGAGAGCTTTTTCCCTGGACCTTATCTCCCTTGTGCTGGCCGAACTGATTGAAGAAAGGGTAGGGGAGAGGTCCTTCTCAACCAACACAATAATATTGTGAGGGATAGGACATGAGGGGTGTGGGTTTTTGTCTCTTGGTGACTTCCCACCTACTAGGTACACCCCCCAGCTGCCTTCCTTGTCACTTGCAACACATAGGGTCGTGGGGTGGCCCCCACTTATGTGGGAGGTCATCCCATTATATCCCGGTGTGTATAATTGGCCCCGAAAGTTATATTTTTCGGACTACTTTAGTCATATTTTATTTTATCGGGCCGGATAAAATATATCACGCGTTCCCAACAATTTTGGGCCTTTAGAAACGATGTACATTCCCCAACATTAATTTAGGAGCCTCCGAAACTCATTTCGGGCTGTTATCCGCTAAATTACCAATACTGGTAATTGGGCCCCGTTTGACCAACCGGTCAACTCCATGCCTTTCTTATGGCCCAAATAAAATATCAACCTCTATGTAGATGTCACCTAGACCAAGATGAATATAATATGTGGTTCGTGAATTATCGGGCGACCCCCCGGTCCGGGCGTGGGCCCCACATGCAATTTACTATTCACGTAAAAGAATTAATAAAAATTTACATTTACGCAAATTCATAAATCATCCTTCAAGGTTTATTACATAATTTACTAAAAGTAAATATGCTTGGGGACGGTGCTACTAGTTCACCCCCCCTTAACGGGAATTTCGTCCCCGAAATTCACAACGATTATTCAAACAGAAATGCATACTGTTCCTTCATCGAGGCTTCAGTCTCCCAAGTTTCTTCTTCAACTCGGTCACTCTTCCAAAGGATTTTAACCATTGGAACTTTCTTGCTTCTTAGCTTCTTTACTTGCCTATCAAGTATCTTCACCGGTTGCACGGCGTAGTTCAAGTCTTCCCGTATTTCCACGGGTGGTTTCTCTAGTACATGAGATGGATCCGGAATGTACTTCTTAAGCATAGACACATGGAATACATTATGTATTTTCTCCAATTCCGGAGTCAACTGTAATCGGTATGTTACGGCCCCAATTCTCTCAAGAATTACAAATGGCCCTATGTAGCGTGGGTTAAGTTTCCCTCGGCTCTGAAATCGGATAATTCCTTTCCAAGGTGAAACTTTCAAAAATACCTCATCTCCAACCTTAAACTCTAAGGTTCTTCGGCTCTTATCGGCATAGCTCTTCTGTCTATCCTGTGCCGCCTTGAGTCTGTCACGAATCATCTTTACCTTTGACTTGGTGATTTCCACCAATTCCGTGCTCTCGAGTTTGGCCATGCCAATCTCGTCCCAACACAAAGGTGTACGACATCTCCTCCCATACAATGCCTCGTATGGAGGCATGCCTATACTCGCCTGATGACTGTTGTTATAGGCAAACTTCACAAGTGCCAAATGGTTGTCCCAACTCCCTTGGAACTCCAATGCACAAGCTCTCAGCATATCCTCTAATATCTGTATAACCCGCTCGGATTGCCCATCCGTTTGTGGATGAAAAGCTGTACTGAATTTCAGTTTTGTCCCCATAGATTCTTGGAACTTCGGCCAAAATCGTGATGTGAATCGCGGATCTCTATCGGACACAATGGTTATAGGAACCCCATGTAGCCTCACGATCTCATCCACATACAACTTGGCTAACCTTTCCAGTGCATAGGTGGTGTTGATAGGTAGAAAGTGTGCACTCTTCGTGAGCCTATCGACCACAACCCATACGGCATCATAGTTCTTAATCGTCCGTGGCAGCCCCACCACGAAATCCATAGTTACGTGTTCCCACTTCCATTCAGGAATGGAGAGCGGCTGTAATAACCCAACTGGATGTTGATGTTCTGCCTTAACTTGTTGGCAAGTAAGACACCTACTGATGTACTCGGCTATTTCCCTCTTCATACCAGACCACCAGTAACTTTCCTTCAAATCACGGTACATCTTCGTGCCTCCCGGGTGCATGGCATATGCCGATGAATGGGCCTCCTCTAAGATGGACTTTCGGAGCCCATCATCCGACGGTACACACACTCGGTCACGAAATAATACGAGACCATCGTCTCTTTCCCTGAAATCCTCAACCGGTCCCGCTAGCATGCGCTCACGGACCTTCATGAGCTCTTCATCAGTTTCTTGACCCTTCTTGATTTCATCAAGTAATGCAGGTCTCACCTCGAATCTAGCTAACAAAGCACCATCACCAGATACCTCCAATCGGGCTCTCAATGCCCTCAAACTAGTCAACAACGCCCCAGACGAATTCTTTCGGCTCAGGGCATCCGCTACCACGTTGGCTTTACCGGGGTGGTACTCGATAACTAGGTGGTAGTCTTTTATCAATTCCATCCACCGTCTCTGTCTCATGTTTAACTCTTTCTGAGTAAACACGTATTTCAGGCTTTTGTGGTCAGTGTATATATGACATGTTTCCCCGTAGAGATAATGTCTCCAAATCTTCAATGCAGAAACCACTGCCCCCAGCTCTAAGTCATGAGTGGGATAATTTACCTCATGTTTCTTCAACTGTCGCGAAGCATAGGCAATCACCCTCCCATTCTGCATCAAGACACATCCAAGCCCTTGGATGCTCGTGTCACTATAAACATCATACCCCACACCCTGTTGGGGTAATGCGAGTACCGGTGCCTCGGTCAATCTCTTCTTTAGTTCAAGGAATCCCTTCTCACATCGGTCATCCCATACAAACTTGGCCCCTTTTCGAGTGAGCTTTGTTAATGGCGATGCCAAAACTGAGAACTTCTCCACGAACTTTCGGTAATACCCTGCCAATCCAAGGAAGCTACGAATTTCCTTGACGTTCTTTGGCCTCTCCCATTCTGTAATGGCCTCAATCTTCTTGTTATCTACGGCAATCCCTGATCCCGAGACCACATGCCCGAGAAAACCAATCTGCCTTAGCCAAAATTCACATTTGGAAAACTTGGCATAGAGTTGCTTCTCCCGTAGTGTCTCGAGAACAAGTATCAAGTGCTCCTCATGCTCTTCTTCACTCCTTGAGTAAATCAAGATATCATCTATGAACACAACCACAAACCGGTCCAAGTATTTATGAAATACTCGGTTCATCAAGTCCATAAATGCCGTCGGGGCGTTGGTTGTGCATGGACGAAAGATGGATGTTTGGTCTCCAGCGGTCAAAGATCATGGACGAAGTGTGGGGCTAGAGGCTGGAACAGATCTGGATTCGAGGTCATCTGTATTAGGTGGTGACAAAGCAAGCTTGGTAGAGAACATGATGAATAAGAGGCAAGGTGAGGAAGAAACTACAGTACTGCTGGATCGTCCCCCTCCTTAACCGCTGCCATGGAGTGCAGGAGATTCTAGAGTTTGGGAGCATCTTTTTAATTTTACTGTTTGCTTGTGATTTATTTTTCATGATCAGACTGTTTATTTTTTTGTTGATTACTTTTATTATTGTAAGACTCTTGCATTAGGATTGGATGATGAGAGCTTGAAAGGTCTGCTTTAACCGTCGTTGACTCATTTATGTCCATTATAGGATCAACCAGTTATATTGCTTTTTTGAAGGTGATTGATTCTAAGTTTGGTTCGAGGGATGACGGTTGTTGTGATCCTTTTATCGTTTAACTCCCTATCTCAATGTTAATGCTGTGATATCAATTTAAGTCTCCTTCTTCCGAAAAAATATTGAAATGCTTTTTCCATCCTTTGCAAAAACTGCCTAAATAAAGTTTGCATTTTACTCCGTACTTTTTTAGTAAAATCCATATAAACTTCTGGCGGCAGGAAACTTCTCCTGTTTTGAAGCATTGCACTTTTCTTATATGAACCAACGTGTATCATTTTTTCTTGTCCATAAAAAAAAGTATGGATTTTACTTTTAAATGAGTATGCCTATCAGCCTATGTATGCCTATGACTTTCAATAAGTATGCCTGTGACTTTCAATTTTAAATAACATGCCTAAAAAATTAAGAAGGCTAAAAATGGATTTTACCTAGATTGATTCAGCTTGGAGAGATGCAATTGTGAGAACTATGGATTTTCTACTTGTAATTCTCGATCGAAAATACATTACTGCAGTTGGACATAGTTTATAATACCGATCTATTACTACCTCCGTCCCACTAATATTGGAACGGAAGAGGGTGACATGATTATTAAGAAAAATGGGTTTATATGGTTCATATTAATTGATAAAGTAAGAATAAAGCAAAAAAAAAAATAGAGTCACACAAACTTTACCAAATTTTGTCTGGAATAATTTTATTAGGATTTCCCGAAAAGGTAAAATGAGAAAATATTATCAGGACGAAGGGGGTATAATTTATACGTAGTGTGATACTATATAATGCAAAGCTGTTTGTCCATATACTTTATATGTAAAGAGTTTATTTTATATCTTACTAAATGCAAATGAAATGTTCACATAATCAGGTTGAAAAGTTGTGATAGTACCTAGGACTCCACCTTCTAGGAAGGTCCATTCCAACACCTAAACATGGAGTCACCTTCTAGGAAGTAGCTTCTTCAACGGGCATGGTAGCCAGTGAGGAGAAGATATGAAAGCATGGAAAGCATTATCTCTTGTTCTCAAACTAGTCATAGGAAGCTTATTTATTGGACTGCGGATATGTGGGCCACTAATATGTCAATCTACCGATGCAATCAAAACATGATGTTTGAGTGCTATGCAAGTATAAGAAAATAATGTTGCGTCTTCGCTACCAGCTATAGCTTTTGGTGCAGTGGTAAGCATTTGATTGTGACCATTGGTATCAGAGCAGGTCATAAGTTCAACTCTCGGCAACAACATGTTGCACTATTGTTGGTTGGCATATGCTTGGGGAGATTGTTGGGCCGTTAGAGTGCTGACCAACAATCTGCCAGTCTATCGGTGAAATCGAAACGTGGTACTTGACTGCTTCACAAGTATGAGGAAATAAAGTTGTGCATTCACTACTAGTTATAATTTTTGACGTAGTAGTAAGCACATGATCGTGACATTATTGTTGCTCATTATCATCATACCTACCAAAAGGGAAGAAAAGTGTGTGTAGAGTGAGTGATATACACTTAGAGTAAGAGTGTATAAGTGAGGGTTGAGTTTTTGTTGTTGGGTGCTTGAGGTTGACCTTTCCATATACTCTTTTCATTTCTTCAAGAAAAAATCTTAGTGACTTAAAAATTTGTATTTTTAAGTTTAGCTCAAAATAGAAATATGATCATAACATTAATTTGTCTCATCGAGGGGAGAAACGAGTATTTTCTGCGACCAACCGGCTACCAAAAGCCACCGCACACGCTGCCATGCACCAAGAAGTGTGAGCACACTCTATCACGTGCCAGAAGTGTAATGTCAGCAACTCAAAGGCAATCCCGCATTAGCACCCACATGTTCTCCTGCATCAGCCGTTGCGCCAACGCCACGTTACGCCCAGTCAGTGACACATTACCATTCACGTAAGAACTTGTCGAGTTGTTTGCCCACTTGGATAGAGCCACGTCATAGACACGTCTTATCCATGCATGTGCCACATATTTCTACGTCATTAGCTTGGTTGCATGCGCGCTGGTTTTGCATTAAGCCGACTGAACCGGTTCAAACTTATCTAGGCCGGGTCACCCAATTCTTGACTAGTTTTTACCAATTTCGGCCATTCCGGATCCAACCGTGAACTCTGTTTGGCCTAATTGTGCTTCATAGGTAAGGTACGAGAAATATGTGTACACTTTATTGTGGAAAATCATCAATGGGTATCATGATTACCTTGAGTTTAACAAATTAGAATATGTGGAAACCTCGAATGAAGGATTTGCAAAATTTAAAGGATTTAGATGATCCTCTTGATAATAATGGTACCAAACCTGACAACATAAATGATGAATAATGGGCTTAAATGAACGGAAAAATTGTTGCACAAATTAGACAATGGATCGATCATAATGTATTCCATCATAATGCTCAAGAACATGGTGCTTAGACTGCTTACAAACTCTAAGAGAAGCTTACTAGGATTTATCAAGCAAAAACAACTCGAACTAAGACCCTACTCATGAGACGATTGGTAAACTGCAAGTTACATGGTAGTATCTCAGTGGCAGAACACACGAGTCAAGCAATTCCAGGATCTCGTGAACTAGCTGAGCATGACCAGATGAATTCTCAAAGACAAGGAACATGCAACACTACTCCTAAGTTCTCTACCTTATAGTTGGGAGACTCTTATTGTCATTCCTAGCAATTCTATTCCAAACGGCACTGTGACTATGCAGAAGGTCATAAATACCTTAATGATAGAGGAAATATGAAGAAAAGAAGTTGGGACTGATCACCCATATGCTCTTGTTTCAGAATAAAAAAGATGAGGAGGGAGGAATGGAGGACGAGGTTGAGGCACAGGTAGAGGTCAAGTTCAAAGTAATGGGAGATTCCAAAAGATTGTGGGAGCAAGGGAAGCTCGTCGATACCAATACTTGGTTCGAGGGCTATTTCAACCTATGTGGTCATTAAAGCCATAGAAATAGTGATTGTTGCTGAAAGTTTCTACGCGAGCAGTCCCAAACAAGCCAAAGTTTGAGCAAGAAAGATGGTGAGACTAAAGTCACCATGTCACCTGACATTTCATTTGTTACATGGGGAGAAGGTGTATGTTTGCACGTAGGTACACATGATACCGAGTAGGTGATTGATAGCGCTGCACAATTTACTATTTTAGTTGAAGAGTGAGTAAGACTATGCACATAGTTGAAAGATGGAATTTGAGAAAACTAATTACTCAAGGAACGTCAACCAGAGAGTACAGAACAAAATTCAAGTCATTAAGAAGTTTTCTAATTTCAATGTTTCCATTTTGTAGTATATGTTTTTGAAATAATTGCAATTGGTCTTTCTTATTTGTTTAGTTACTATATTGAACCGAAACTATAATTGAATACTACAGTATATAATAATGGAAGCTATTGTCCATTCCCTCTCTGGACGAAGAAGTTTTATAAAGGGTTCTTAAAATTCTACAAATGTAATTAAGGATATTAGTAATATTACTCATTTTCACCAAACAGAATTTTTTAAAAGTAAATGAAAAAATGGCAAGAATAATACTAATCAGCTTTTGTTTGACATAAATGTGACTAAAACTGATTTGGACAAAAAAGTCACTTTTCCAAGCTTCGACACTTCCGTTCTCGCATCCCACATCAAATATCAAAAGCCCAATAGCGGCCTAACCCTAAATTAGAGTCTGGCATTTCATCTCATCCCCAACCATCGAGCTCGTGAGTGTGCGACTGGAGCTCAGGCAATGTCACGTCGCTGCCACCACCGTACACCGCTGTGAGAGTCGCTGACACCAACACACCTCTTCTCCGAGGTCATCTCATTTGTTGTCTAGGCGGCAGCGGAGGAACTCAGGTTGTCGTCTCTTTCAAACCGTCGTCACCGCCCTCTCCCCGTAAAACTCAATCGCAACAAATATCTAAACCCAGATCTGTTGAATCATCGTTTACGACCACATCTGTCATCGTCGTCGTCTTCGATGGAGCTGATGTTGCAGGTCGTGGCTAGGGTTGCTGCGTTAGAGTGGGCCTGGAAGGATGGGGTGGCGCACTCGAGAGGAGGTACGAACATGGGCAAGGGCAAGAGCAAGGGAGGGGCATTTGGCTGGGGCTGGGAATGGTGGCTGGACGGGAATGTGAGAGTTGCAAGAGAGGGGAGTCAGGGGAGTGGAGAGGGGGCCTTGGGAGGGTTGAGAAGGGGGTTTGGAGATGGGGAGGGTAGGATGGGAGTTGGAACTGCGGTGGTTAGCGATTGTGTAGGGCTGGGTGTGGTGGGGTTCGAGCGGACTGGGGCTTGGGTTGGGGTGCGGTGGTTCAATGGACGTGCAGAAGAGGCAATCACTGGCCGGGGGAAGGGGGTGACAGTCACGAGACGGGGCGGCAGTCACTGGACAAGGGCGGCACTCACTCGTCGGCGATGACAGCAGTCACTGGACAGGGGGTGGCGGCAGTCACTGGCTGGGGGCGACAGTCACGGCCGGTGGACGGGCTGTCACTAAGGTCGGTGGCCGGAGTCACTGTGGCCGGAGTCACTGTGACCGGAGTGGCAGCGGCGGCGGTGCCGGTGACGGAGGCGGTGGTGTCGGTGACGACGACGGTGCTGGAGTCGGCGTCACAGAGGTGGTGGTGGCTGCAAAGGAATATTATTAAAATAATAAATGTATGATTAAATATAAGAAATAAATGACTTTTAGTCACTTTTTTGGAAAAAATTAAAACAAAACACTTTTTTGTCTTTTTCATTCATTTTAGTAATATTGGAATAAAAAGGCCAAAGTGAATCGCCTATATTAATATAAAAGAAATTATGACCCTTGAATCAGACCCATAACTCAATCATTCTAACCATATTCTAATATTCCAGAATTTAAACCTGAATATATATATCATATTTGAATAAGTAAATTAAATAAGTTTTGAAATTCAAACTATGGTGTAAGTAAAATGAAAAAAGTGTAGAGGTTCTTTAGCTAGGTTAAATGAAGGTAATTTTCTTAAAATTGTAATGGGCGAGTCACAGTAATAATATTAATACATAACCGTACTCCAAATTTAATATTATGCTCTCTTAGTCATAGTGAACTAGATATAAAGTGGGTTACCAAATAGAAACCAAGACCCTTAGACCGGAACAACTTAAAATTCATAACATTTTCCCTCTATTTGAACTAATATAATTCCTTGAATAGGTGTCATGCATTAGTGTTGGAAAAATGGTTTTACAAATTAATATTACTAATGTTATTTGTGAAAAACCATTTTGAAATGAATGAGAAATTGTTCCCCTAAGGATAAGCGTGAAATTATATTTAACACGCACACACCGCCACTGTCAGTCGGCCGGGCGGGATCGGGTTCGAGTCTCACCGGACACATCCGTATGGCTAAAGACTAGAGATTTTTTTTTGCTACGTTTTATTTCTTTTTCGGATAAAACCAAATAAAAAACACATCCATTTGTTTTAAAAGAAAGGTCATGATTTTCCATTGGGTTAGAGACTCCTGGCCAGAGCCCTACAAATACCCGCCTTGTCTTCAATTTTGGGTATCCGAAAATCATCGTACAATCCTCCATATTCTCTCTTCGTTGCATCTTTGAGTTCGCCGGAATCCCGTTGGGAGCGAAGAACCGTTCTATCCTGGGAGACGCTTGCTACGTGTGTCGGGCAAAAACGTCTTAAGGACAATGCTTAAGTTGGGCTCGGTTACAAGTAATTTTAGATGTTTCCTTAATTATTTAATTATTATTTCATGTGCATGCAGAATATTAATACACACAAATAACAATCTTAAGACGTTTTTCCTTTTGTTTTGAATTTGTACTGCGTGCGTGCGTGCATGTTTCTGCCGTTTTGTTGTTTCATAATACCTGGCACTTGTGTGAATAAGTCTTCATGTGTTTATTTTTTTTTAATCAATACGTAGTATTAAACATCATCTGTGTCATTAAGTGCTTGTGTTTTCATAAAGCAGATTATTTTATGTCAAAACTAGCAGTGTACGCACTACGTGCGACAGGTGCCCAATATAACTACTTAAAAATGTGTAATATATAAGAAAATTTGAAAAAGTGAGGAAATCAAATAATATAATCAAAATAATTTTCATCTTAAAAAGTTAGAATACAATTAAAACTTACGGAGTATTGTTTAAAGGATAATGTGGGAGTTTTTTAGGACGGTAACAATTAAAATATAAAAGGATTTTAGTAGTCCTCTACAAGAGATGAAGGATATTTCATATAGTAGCGATAGTTGGGCTAATTGTAGCTCAAAAACAAGGAAAGTTTAATTCCAAATGATAGTGTAGTTTCAAATGAGTGAACTATATTGTACTAAAAACTAATGGAGTTTCCGTTGGAAATTCATGCAACTACTAACATAAGTAGTACGGAGTACTTTTTTAGGTGAAATTTATTAACACACGTATCCTAATGAATATTTTACGGATAATTACTCCCTCCATCCCATAAAATTCTTCCCACTTTCATTTTTGGGCCGTCCCAAAAAAATCTTCTCACTTACCATTTTTGGACAATTTGTGTGATTCACATTCATTTCACATTTTTCTTACACAACCACAACCATACATTTCTACTTTCTTAATCTCCGTGCCAAGTCAAAGTGGGAACAATTTTATGGGACGGAGGTAGTATTAACTTTTAGTTATATGTGGTTGATGGATAGTGTACCCGGGGGGTAGCTTATCCGAGGGGTTATTGCGGGGAATAATAAGAGAGAAGTCGGAGCAAGTAAATATAGAGAGAGAAAGTATATTGTAAAGTGTGGAGCGTTTTTAGCGTGTTATGACCTGGTTACAAATGGGGAAAAGGGGTGCTATTTATAGTAGCAATAAATGCCGGGCAGGGACACGTGTCAAGCGTCCATTGGCCGAGAGGTCACCTCATCTGGTTGGCGCTGGCAACCGCATGTGGCCGCATTTAATGCGGCTGTTGGAAGGGACGTTTGTACAGGGTACGGTGATCTGTACGCATGTGGTGTGGATATCATGTCGGGCAGGGTGCCCTCGGCTGTAGAGGACTAGCCGAAGGCTCTGAGTTCCGGGGACCCCCTTAGTGCCGAGGGCTCCCATTGTCGAGGGCTACTGATTTTCGCCGTTTTTCCCAGTAACTTTGTTTTGCTGTCTTGGCCCTCCTGTGAGAGTTAGAGCCTTCGGCCATGGGGCCGAAGGCACCCCTGGTGCGTGTTGTGGGCTGCTTGGTACTCTGGGCGTCGTGATTTGGGCCTGTTGGGCCTTCTGGGCCTGTTGGGCCTTTATTGGAGTAGTAGGAGTCTGTGGGCCGGGGGTTCCCGGGCCACATACTCCATCAGGAGTCCCTCACTCCTTTTGCCGAAAGGTACTTGAGGGAAAAGGAGTAATTTGTGTTTGTCCTCTGCCGTTGTTCCGTTTGTAGTTTGTAGGGTTGCTGGTAGTTTGATGTTTGTTTATTCTACCGAGGGCAGTCCCTCAGTTACCCACATGTCGGGACTTGAGGGGTCATGTTTTGTGATTTTTGTGATTTTTCCCGAGGGGGGTCCTCCAGTCCCCCACTCCTTGAGGCACTTGCAAAGTGGTGAAAAGGAGTAAAGTAGTTACGTTGCTGTTGTGGGCCGAAGGCTGACGCTTTTCGTTTTATTTTGGGGGGATGCCTCGTTAAAAACCTCATTAGGAAAAACCATGTGGGAAAAAATCCTAATGAGGGAAAAAGAGTGCACCGAATTCCCCCAATGATGAATCGAAAATGTGAGACCTTGGTTCGAAATAGAGAATAATGATGTTGCCGAAGGCTTTCCCTGTTCTGAGGGCTCATGTGTTGATTAGCCGGAGGCTTGTTGTTGATGTCCTGGGAGGTGCCGAAGGGGAGTCCCTCAATCTGGGGATCGAGGGCGTAATGAATGAGGGTAGCAGTCGAGTTGTTACCGGGGGGTCCCCTGTTTGTTGATTAGCTGGTGATGAGGATATCTGAGGGGTCCCGTTACCTGTGTGCCGTAGGTGATCCGTCAATGAGGCATACTCCCCGGGGGGGCTACCCGGCTCTCAAAGTGCTGAGGGGGGGTCCCCGAGGGGTGCCTGATATGAAGCCTTGGGCTTCTGAAGGTTTGATCCCGAAGGCATCTGTTATGTACTGTGTGGGGCACAACCCGGGAGCGTCTCCGGGTAAGTGTACCCGGAGGCTCTCCTTGATGCAGTGGAGTGAAGTAAAAAGCCCGGGGGCTCCCAGAATATAGCCGTTGGGATATGTAACGTCAGGATATAGCCGTTGGGGGGGTTTCCACGTGGTGCGTGCTCGTTGGCTGCCCGTGGGCGGGCGTCACCGATTGGGTGAAACCACGGTTGGTAATGATGGCAGTCCAACCGGAGGCCCGGTTTCCAGGCCCAAGCCCGGATCCTTTTGCCTATAAATACCCCAAGGCCGGACATTTCCCCTTGTGCGAAATCTTGTTAGCGAAGCTCTGCCGAATTATTTCTAGAGAGAGAAATTCCAGCCTTCGGTCGATTCCCAGCTCTTAAGGTTAGTTCCCCCCTGCCTTTCTCCTCCTAGCTAGCTGTGCCCTGTGCCCTTAGGCTAGGAGTTAGAATTTTTTAGGATACTTAACATTTCCGAGCCCTCGGGTAGTGGGAAGATGTCTTCACAAAGCGACTCCCAGGATATCTCGGGGGAGCCTTCGGTCGAGATGGAGACGTGCTCAGATGTCGAGTCCTCGAGCGTGGAGTCCTCGGTGGGTGGTGATGCTGCAGTCGCCATGGAAGTGGAGAAAGACCTCCAGGCCGAAGTCGAAGCCGAAGGCTTCGAGCAAAAAAACGAGGACGAAGAGCTCGCCCTCGCCGTGCAAACTGCCGAAGAAGAAGAGGAGAGGGAGAGGATGAAGGTGACGGTCGCTATTCTTCCCCCTCGTGGTGCCGGGGAAGCCAGCTCCTCCCGGCCATTGGACCCGACGCCCATCAGTGTGGCTCCCGGGAAGAAAAAGAAGATGAAGGCGGCCCCGAGGAAGAAACAAGCGGTTGTTGACGTCGGGCGGCCGGTAGGCATACCCGAGGGCCACTCGTTCCTGAACACCGCCGCCCTGGAGCTGAAGACGAGGGCGTCCCCGGCAGAATACCAGGCCACTCAGATGTTGGTTGGTCCTTCGGCGCGCGTGGTGGAGCCCAGGGCAGATGATCTGTTGCGGTATGCGCCCGAAGGGTGTTTTGCTGTCCACACCCTCTCGGTGGAGATGGGGCTTCGTTTTCCGCTTCATCCCTTCCTGTTGGAGTATTTGAGGTTCGTGGGGTTGGCCCCCTGCCAGCTAACGCCCAACAGCCACTCCTACGTGGCCGGCTTCCTTTCCCTATGCCAGAGCCGGGGGGGTTGAACCTACCCTCGACCAGTTCTTCATGTCTTTTAATCTATGTCGGGGGGGCACTCAAATGCCGAGGGATTTGCCAACCTTCAGCAGGTACCGGAGTTCAGGCTCTTTGACGACGTGCCCTCGTCCCACAAGGGGTGGAAGGAGAGATTCTGCTACATTCGTCTCGAGGAGAACCCCTTCCCGGCCCAGCTCCGCAACAGCTTCCGGCGCCACCCGAAGGTAGGGAGCGCAGCTCTGGAGAAGAATGGCAAAGTGCTTGCCAAGAAACCGGAGGGGTCTGACAAGCACGTCAAGATTAAGGACGTCACCCTCCCCGAGGAATTGCTTACCCTTGGCTTCCGGCAGTTCCGGCCGAGGGGCTCTTCGGATGAAAGATACCCTCCCCTCGATCGAGTCTTTGAAGGAGCCGGAGGTGATTATCGAAGGGCTCATTTGTACCTTCATAGTTTCCCTTCACACACTTCTGTTTGTTTTTTTTTATTCTATGCTATTGCAACTGACACCCTTCGGTTTAACCTTCTGTGTTCTTTTTTTTTCCTTGCAGGTAATAACATGGACGTAGGCTCTCTTTGTGCCTTGAAGAACGCGAAGGGGAAGAAGAAGGCCCCGGTGGGCACTTCTGGCAGGGAGGGGCCCTCCCAACCCGCAATTGCCGGTGTCGGCGCCGGAGGGTCCAGGGGTGTCGGCCCTACGAAGAAGAAGAACACCGGCAAGGGAACCGAGCCCCCGGCAAAGAAGCTGAAGACCGCCGCCCCCGCCAAACAGCCGACCACCGATGTGGTGGTGATCATGGATGAAGGGCACGCCTCTGCTCCCACCTCCCAGGAACACATCAACCAGGAATTTTTCGGGCGGGAGAAGCTGGAGGCGCTAGTGCCGAAGGGAGCTTCAGTATTGGATGGCAGCCTGAACCCTTCGGCACTGATGAGCCAGATGCTGCCGTCGGCTGACCGGTTGGCCCTTGCCAGGTTGGACGAGGGATCCCTCGAGGCGAAGGTCCTTCTGAACGCTGCCTCCGTAAGTCATACACATCCTTTCCTTGTTCGTTGTTGTGCTTTTTTTTGTAATGTGTTCATCGTGCCTTATTCTTCGCCTTTGTAAATTGCAGAGCTTTATGGGCCTCTGTGAGCACCTCCGGAGGGTGGAGCAAATGAGGGAGGCCAAGGGCGCAACCGAGGGGGAGGCCGCCCTCCTCAGGAAGAAACTCACCGAGGCTGAGGACTCTCTTCGCCTGGATACCGACGGCATGGAGCAGCGGGTCCAAGCTGCGAGGGCCGAAGGTGTGAACGAGGGCCTAGTCAGGGCCCGGGAGGCTGCCGCCGAGGCCGCCCGCGTTGCTGCCGATGAAGCCCGCGCAGCTCAAGAAGAGGCCGTCTCAAAAGCCCGAGAGGATGCGGTGGCCAGCTTTACTGCCGAGGGATGGAAGGCTGAAGACCGGAGGGAGTGGCTTACTTCAGTGGTGGGGGCTTCGGTGGACGAATGGGTCGGAGGCCCCAGCAAGATGTGGCTTGCTGAGAGGGGCGACTCGTACTACCAAGGCGGGGAGTTCTTCACCCAGCGCCTTATCTACCGGAAGCTTGCGAGGCACTTCCAAATTGCACCGGAGGAATTCCATCCAGAGGCTTATGGCCTCCCCCCTCGCCAGCCAGACATCAGGATCCCGCTCCCCGAGGGGGAAGAAAGGCCAGTGCTCGAAGATTCAGAGACCCTCCGGGAGTGCGGCCTTGGGGGCGATGAGGATGAGGCCGAGAGTGAGGCAGTTTCTACAGCTCCCCCTTCCTGAAATGTACTCCCCCCGTTTTGTAATCATACTTTGTTGTAATTGTTGGCTTCGGCCCCTTTTGTAACGCACATTTAAACTTCCCTCCCTTGGATGAATGAGTACATATTCCTTCGGGCTTTTGATATATAACATGCTTCCTTTTAATTCGTTTATTCTCGAATGCATGCCGTCGTTTTCTTTTGAATGTATGCCTTCGCTTTCCTGAATGTATGTTTAGGACTTAGAATATATTCTTCCAAGTGTAGTGCTTCTTGTAGCCGTCGGCTACTAGTAATCTTTCGTCAGTTGAACCTTTCGCCGAGGGCACAATGTTCAGGACTTAGAAATATTTCTAAGTGTTTGTTCATCTGTTGGCCCCCGGCTGATCCTTCCCTCTGGTTCTATGTAGCCTTTATGAGATGACCGGAGGTGAGGTGCTTAGGACTTAGAAAAATTTTCTAAGTGTTTGAATACAGTTTTGGCCTTCGGTAGTTGGGCACCCTTCGCTGGATGTATGGCCGAGGGCCCAGCAATAGTTAGGACTTAGAAATTTTTCTAAGTGTAGTCTCACCAAGCCTTCAATCGTGTGACCCCTCGGGCTGCAGGGAGATTCGAGACTTAGAAACTTGTCGCCGAGGATAAGGCTTCTGGGACTTAGAATTTTTTAGTGTAGCATGTATGAAGTAGGAGCCCTCGGGTGATTGTAGTTCAATTGTTGTGTGATGATTAGGTTGAGAACCCAATCCTTAGGACTTAGAAAAATTTCTAAGTGTAGTTTCCCATTGGAAGCCCTCGGCTGGTAGCTTCCCTTCCTGATGTGTGAATGTTTGACCGAGGGCCAAATATGTAGGACTTGGAAAATTTTCTAAGTGCTGTTGCATCACGTAGCCTTCGGCTATCATGGTCCCTCAGTTGAGATATTGATCAGGCCGGGGGCTCAATCTTCAGGACTTAGAAAATTTTCTAAGTGTTGCTTCCTTGTGTAGCCTTCGGTTAGTAGTGTTTTCCAATTAAGATTTCCCGAGGGCGACATTATTTTGGGATAAGCCCCCTTGGTTGGCCTTTGATGATTTGTAATAGATGCCTTCGGTTGTTGGGTGATATATGAGCCTCCGGCTGTTGTCATTTTTTCAAAAGTGTGGACTTAGGAAAATTTGTAGGACATTGATGTTGTAGTGAATGCTGGTGGGATATAGGTGCCCTCGGCATTCACTTGAAGGGTTGTTGAGCTGCCTTAGTCAGTTGCATCCCCTTTTACAGGATAGGACCCCTCGGTAGCAATGGATGACCGATAGTAGGTGCCCTCGGCACTTATTTGAAGTGAACTTAGCCGTTTAGTGTACTCGAGACAGTCCAATCCCTTTGTATTGTTGAGTAGTAACCTTCGGGAAATAGGAGCCTTCAGTTACCGGAGGTGTTCCCGTATAGAGCCCTCGGTATGTTGTGATTTGTTGGAGTGTTGTACTCATTGATTTCTCGATGAGTCTACTCCCCTTCACCCCCTCTGTTTTTTTTTTCTTTTCTTTTTTTTGGTTGGTGGTGAAGGGAAGGGCATCAAGAAACTTGGTTTCTTGGTAAGGCTGGGCCTATCAGGAGACCATCAGAATACACCAATGGCTCTCCTCCCTCAGGTTAACCTTCCGAATTACGAGGGGATCGAGGGACGTTTCCTGGGCGTAAGACGTAGTCTGTAGCCTGCTTCCCCTAGGAAGATAGCACGGAAAGCGCCTCATTTTTGAAAATCGTCCCCTCGGCGTCAGACAAAGTCCGCGGCCTGCCACACCCTGGGGGTAATGGCGCGGGGAGCGTTTCGGTTTGGAAGTCGAATCCTCGGCGTCAAGCAAAGCCCGCAGCCTGCCACACCCTGGGGGTAATGGCGCGGAAAGCGTTCCGTTTTTGAAAGTCGAATCCTGGGCATATAACTTGCATGTTCTACCCTGGGGGTAGTGACGCGGAAAGCGTTTCAAGGAAGGGTTTTCATTTGCACACTAGTTGCAAATGGTCGGGGGCACTACGTGCCGCCGGCATCGATGGTGGTGCCTTCGGTATATGCGTCCTCGTGGGGTACGGCTTTAGAAACAAAACTTGGTGTTAGTTTTGACATACAGCCCCCGGTACTTGGTACCGAGGGGTCTTCTGTAGGAACACTTGGTGTTCTTCTTCTTTTTGATGTCGAAGGGTCTTGAAGTGAAACACTTGGTGTTTCTTGTTGCCGGTGATGGGAGTTCCCACCTTCGGTACTTGGTACTGAGGGTTCTTGTTCGAAAACACTTGGTGTTTTCACTGTTGTTGGAGGTGTTGGTGGTGTCCGCCCTCGGCACTTGGTGTCGGAGGGGGTTCTTCTAGTGGTGAGGCCTTGGGCCTGTAGTTCGTATGAGGGCTTGGCCGCTCATAAGTGTCTTGTGGTTGTTCTTGGTGTCTTGAATGTGTCTTCATTCTTCAAAATTGGAGGCCTTGGGCCATAGGATAGTACATTCACTACTTATGAGGGCTTGGCCGCTCTTACATTATTGATAAAATTTAACTAAGTGGTGTACATTCCAGTGCCTAGGGACATCTTTCCCGTTGGGGCGTTTGAGCTTGTAAGTCCCAGGTTTGATGATGGTTGCTATGATGTAGGGGCCTTCGAACTTTGGTGCCATTTTGCCTCCCTCGGTCGGTTGGCTGGCTTCCCTCCTCCGGAGGACATAGTCCCCCACTTGGAATTCTCGGGTGCGAACCTTGGCGTCGATGTAGCCTTTGACTTGCCTTCGGTAGTTTTCTGCCCGGATGAAGTCTTGCTCCCGGCGTTCTGAAAGGAGGTGGAGGTCGAGGGCCATGTTGTTGTCGTTGACCTCGGGGTCATATTGGATCACCCTCCGGGTAGGAAGGGTGACTTCCGTAGGAGCTTTGGCTTCAAACCCGTAGTAGAGGGAGAAGGGTGTTTCACCTGTTGCTCGCCGAGGGGTGGTGCGGTAGGCCCAAAGGATGTTGTGGAGTTCTTCTACCCAGCCACCGCCCTCAGCCTCCAGCTTCTTTTTGAGGCCCTCGAGCAAGATCCGGTTGGCGTTCTCTACTTGCCCGTTACCTTGAGGGTAGGCAACGGAGGAGAAGGTGTGTTTGATGCCCCATGCCTCCAGGAGGGCACAGAAGGGGGCTGCCTCAAATTGTGTTCCGTTGTCGGAGATGATCTGATGGGGGACGCCAAACCTTGTGAGGATGTTCTTGAGGACGAAGTGACGGCACTTCGCCTCTGTGATGCTGGCGAGGGGCTCAGCCTCCACCCACTTGGTGAAGTAGTCGATGGCCACAATGATGTACCTGTTGTTGGAGGTACCCCTCGGCAGAGGGCCCACAAGGTCTATCCCCCATCGAGAGAAGGGGACGGATGTGCTGATGGGGGCATATATGACCGCTGGCCTGCCGGGGGCTTTCTGGAAATGTTGGCATGCGGTGCACCTTCGGGCAAGGTCAGCACAATCCCTGGCCATGGTTGGCCAGAAGTAGCCCTGGAGAATGAGCCTTCGGGACATGGAGAAGGGTCCCTGGTGAGCTGAGCAAGTGCCACTGTGCACTTCCTCCATTGCGACCTCGGCTTCATCTTGATGAAGGCACCGAAGTAGTGTGCCGTTGTAAGACCGTTTGTAGAGCCTTCCGTCTTCGATGGTGTAGCTAGGAGCCCTCAGCTTTGCTAGTTTAGCGCGGGTCCCATTCTCAGGTAGCTGCCCTGTGGAGATGAAGGTGATGATATCTGAGATCCAGTCCTCTTGGCGTTGTTGTATGCTCATGACGGGGCTCGCATGGATACTTGAGAGACTGAGTTCCTCAATTTTGGCAATCTTAGAGATGTGCTCGGGGGATTCGGCCGAGAGCTTAGATAGTATGTCGGCCTCGGAGTTCTGAGCCCTCGGTATTTGAGTGAGAGAGTGTGCCTCAAATACCTTAAGCAACTCCTTGGCCACCTCCTTGTACTGTTTCATTCTTCCCTCCTTGGCCTCATACTCCTCGGAGATTTGGCCGACGACTAACTTGGAGTCGCATTTGATATGGATCTGCCGAGCCTTCATGTTGGCAGCCAGCCGAAGGCCACATAGGAGGGCCTCATACTCGGCCTCGTTGTTGGAGACTTTGAAGGAGAAGCGGATTGCATAGTAGGCCTTGAAGCCCTCGGGAGTAACGAGGACTACCCCTCCCCCGCATGCTTTGGTTGCGGAGGAGCCGTCGGTGTAGAGGGTCCACCAGTCGTCCGAGGTAGCCGAGGGCTCCCCGTCCGTGGCTGCCCTTACGGTACACTCCGTCACAAAGTCCGCCAGGGCTTGGCCTTTGATGGCAGGCCTCGGACGGATGTCAATGTTGTATTGGCTCAAGAAGATAGCCCATTTCACCATGCGGGAGGAGCTGGTGGGGCTCCTCATGAGGGCGCCGAGGGGTTGATGAGTGAGGACCTGAACCGGGTGGGCCTGAAAGTAGTGGCCCAACTTCTTGACGGTCCAAACGATGGCTAACACCGTTTTTTCCACAGGGGAGTACCTGAGCTCGACCTCCCTTAGGGTCTTGCTTACATAGAAGATGGCATGTTGGATGTCGTCTTCCTCCCGGATGAGCACAGAGCTGATGGCTGTCGGGCTGACTCCAAGGTAGAGGTAGAGGGTCTCCCCTACCTTTGGTTTGGAGAGCACAGGGGGTGAAGATAGGTACCGTTTGAGTTCGTCGAAAGCCTCCTGGCATTCTGAAGTCCATTGAAAGCCAGCCGTCTTCCTCATGATCTGGAAGAAGGGTAAAGACTTCTCCGCTGATTTAGATAGAAAGCGGTTGAGGGCTGCCAGGCGGCCCGTCAACCGTTGAACTTCCTTCACATTGCGTGGGGGCTCCATGTTGATGATGGCCTGGATCTTCTCGGGATTGGCCTCAATACCCCTTCAGCTCACCATGTAGCCTAAGAATTTGCCCCCTTGGACGCCGAAGGTGCACTTCTTCGGGTTTAGCCGAAGGTTGAACTTTTGCATGATGACGAAGATTTCCCGGAAGTCGTCGGCATGGCTGGAAGATTGTTTGCTTTTGACGATCATGTCGTCAACATAGGCCTCCATGGTGCGCCCTAGGACGGCTTGGTCATCGCTCCGGTTCTTCTTCTTGGCCTCGATGCCGAGGCGGGCATCGGGGGCATTCTGTTGGATCTGAAGGCGTAGGTCGACAGCCGCCTGTTCCAGCTCAGCGATGACACCGCCCTCGGGAGCCCTGTGAGAGGCTTCGGGGGCGTTGACGTCGCTGATGGCCAGGTTCTTGTCTTCTACGTTTTTGGAGTTGGCACGTGTTGTTCTCACCATTTTGGTAGAGGGCTAGTGTCTGGCGAAGGGGGAGGGTTTCTTACTTGATTGTTCGAACTCTCAACGAGAGCACCAAATGATGGATAGTGTACCCGGGGGGTAGCTTATCCGAGGGGTTATTGCGGGGAATAATAAGAGAGAAGTCGGAGCAAGTAAATATAGAGAGAGAAAGTATATTGTAAAGTGTGGAGCGTTTTTAGCGTGTTATGACCTGGTTACAAATGGGGAAAAGGGGTGCTATTTATAGTAGCAATAAATGCCGGACATGGACACGTGTCAAGCGTCCATTGGCCGAGAGGTCACCTCATCTGGTTGGCGCTGGCAACCGCATGTGGCCGCATTTAAAGCGGCTGTTGGAAGGGACGTTTGTACAGGGTACGGTGATCTGTACGCATGTGGTGTGGATATCATCTCAGGCAGGGTGCCCTCGGCTGTAGAGGACTAGCCGAACGCTCTGAGTTCCGGGGACCCCCTTAGTGCCGAGGGCTCCCATTGCCGAGGGCTACTGATTTTCGCCGTTTTTCCCAGTAACTTTGTTTTGCTGTCTTGGCCCTCGTGTGAGAGTTAGAGCCTTCGGCCATGGGGCCGAAGGCACCCCTGATGCGTGTTGTGGACTGCTTGGTACTCTGGGCGCCGTGATTTGGGCCTGTTGGGCCTTCTGGGCCTGTTGGGCCTTTATTGGAGTAGTAGGAGTCTGTGGGCCGGGGGTTCCCGGGCCACATACTCCATCAGTGGTAATATACATGGTATGTGAAAGCTGGTTATCTGAAAAAGCCAATGGTGTGAGATAGCTGGTCTCTGTAGCCATTGGTTTTTTCAGATAACCAGCTTTCACATACCATGTATATTACCAGAGATCTTTATCATTTCTAGGGGGTCTTTTTTGCATTAACTTATTAGCTAGATGTAACAAATAAGAGGGTAACAGACATTGACAGTAGATCAGAATTGATTCTTCATAATTTTATCCAATGAAAGTCGAGGCTGTTTTAGAGCTACTATGCAACACACTGGGACAGTCATAAGGGATAATATTATTAGAAAATACGTAGTACTAAAACTTAATAATAAACCTCTATGTGCATCTTAGTAAGTTAAGCTTTCTTAGATTCCTACTATTGTATTCAAGGGACCATAACATACAAAAAAGTTAACAGAGGTGTCTTTTCCCTAGCTTTGTTTTTTGTATTTAGCGCAACAGCTTTGTTCTTTCATCAAATTCTGTTCTAAACAACATCATTTTGTTGGCAAAGAGAGACATAGTAGAAAGTGAAGTCTCTAACTTTATCATTAGTGTTGAATCAAGGAATTAACAGCAACTTGAAAGTGAAGTCTCTGACTTGATCATTAGTGTTGAACTGTTGATCAAACTCAGCAATTTATATGCACTTCATTAGTGCATAAGGTGATCTCAAGCACATCTGCTTCATCCGAGAGTCAACGGATTAACAATAAATGTAAGAGATACTACCTCCGTCTCATAAAATTCTTCCCGGTTTGACTTGGATCGAAGTTTAAGAAACTGATAATGAAGAGGAAATGTATGGTTATGGTTGAGTAAGAAAAATGTAAATAAATGTTAGCCACACAAAACTTTCCAAAAAGGAAAATGAGAAGTTTTTTTGGAAAATGAGACAATCAGACAAAGGGTGGGAGTAGCACCTATTGAAGACAAGATGCGGGAGTCGCGCCTACGGTGGTTTGGTCATGTGCGTAGAAGACCGAGTGATGCACATGTCAGACGAGTTGAGATGTGTGGAGAAGAGGTAGGGAAGAGAGGGAGAGGGAGGCCCTAACAGACATGCGTTTTAGCTGTAGTATTGTACAGGTTAGTGAATCTCTCCTCTGTTCTCTCTCTTTCAGATTTTCTGCAGAGAGAAGTGTTTGAACTATCGACTCCGAAAGTGTCTGCGGACCTTGGAAACTTTGTGCACTGGTGTGTGTATGTTTCCTTTGTAAAGAAAAAGTTATGCTTCCATGTTTTCCTTTGCCCTTTTTTGGATCTGATTTTATATTATTAGAGAACACATTCTTAAAAATGAACAATTAAGTAGTATTGTTGCAGAAAACATTGTAATTGGCTTTTTCACAAACACTTTGTCAACATGAGCAAACGTATTCTTCTAAAAGCACATGAAGGGGAACTTAAAATCGCCATTATTGTTAATTCAGAAGCACCATTTCAATAAAGTGAAATAGCAGGTAGACATATTAAGGTAACAATATTCGGTTTTGGATGGAAAGAGGGTGATAAAAATACCTTCTGGAGAGCATGCAGAAGATCGAAATGCGTAGAGATAAACATGTCCCTTTGGAAGAACATGTAGTCTTCGGCTCTTCCTTCGTGAGCGATTATTTGGGCGGTGGGATAACTACTCCATAGCCGTATAATGGAAAGAAGAAGAGGGCCGTAGATATTTTCGTTAGTTGCATAGACGGAAAAGACGGAAAAAGGACCGGCTAACTATAGTTGGCGAGTAAAATGCATAACAGTACAGTAACTATCGGTAATGTTGCATTTTAGTACCTTAACTCTTTAATGAAACAAATCAGTATCTCAACTATGTTTAAATGTTGCAACCGGTGGTACCATTTAATATTCCGGCCAAAAAATGCCACATGTCCACCGGAAATCCACGTGTGTATCCTACTCATCGTATTTATCCACGTCATTTGTGTATTATCCACATCATTCCGTGATGACAAAGCTGTCAAAAATTAAAATATGCCAAAAAAAACCATTGCGTGGGAATCAAACCCAGCATCTCTCACGCGTGAGATGCCTACTGCCCAGACCAACCACAACACTCAATTGATAATCTACAGAAAGGAACCGTATATATATCAAACATTTTCCGTACATAGTTTTTGACTAATTTATTACCTAAAATATATTATAGCGTCATAGTTTTTGACTAATTTATTACCTAAAATATATTATAGCGTACATAGTTTTTGACTAATTTATTACCTAAAATATATTATAGCGTACATAGTTTTTGACTAATTTATTACCTAAAATTTATTATACGGAGTATACCAAAGTATATTTTACACCATGAATCTGTAGTATATTATATATTTTTCACACCATATTATATATGTTTGCTTTATATATTTGTTAAAAATTATATTTCATGTTTTTAGTCTAAAATTCAAACAATTGAATTTTCAGACTTTTTTTACTTCATATATGTAATATTAGTGTCACATTAAAGATTATAAAAAAATATTACCTTCATCCTGAAAAGGTTTGCCAAATTGACTTTTTGCTCAATGACAATCAGCTTTGACTAATGATATTTTTTTTACTACGAATGATTTTGAATATGAAAATATATCAAAATTTCTTTATTCAAAATGTTTTCATAAAAGTATAAAATTTATAAATTATAAACTTATAAATTATTTATAAATTTATAAATTAAAATTATTATTTAAAGTTTGTCATCATTGATAAAAAAAGTGAATATGGCGATTTTTTTCGGGATGGAGGTAGAATAAATTTTAATATTTTTTTAAAACATATAAAAATAAAATTATTATTTAAATTTCATCATCTTTGATAAAAAAATGTGAATATGGCGATTTTTTTCGGGATGGAGGTAGAATGAATTCTGATATTTTTTTAAAACATATAAAAATAATTAGAACACCGAAAAAAAAGTCTCTATTAAAAAATCCAAAATAAACAAAACTTTGAAAAGTAACAAAATTGAAACCTGAGGCATATACTAAAAACGTGAAATATAATTTTTAACAAAAATATATAAAGTACACATATATAATATGATGTGAAAAAAATATAATATACTACAGATTCATGGTGTAAAATCTACTTTGGTATACTCCGTATAATATATTTTAGGTAATAAATTACTCAAAAACTATGTACGGAAAATGTATGATATTTATACGGTTCCTTTCTGTAGAATACCATTTGAGTCTTGTGGTTGTATGGGGCTGGTGTGGGAAGTGGGTAATACACAAATGACATGGATAACAATGATGTGGATAAATACGATGAGTAGGATACACGCGTGGATTTCCGGTGGACATGTGGCATTTTTTGGCCTACTTTTTTGGGCATATTTTCATTTTTGACAGCTTTGTCATCACGGAATGACGTGGATAATACACAAATGACATGGATAACAATGATGTGGATAAATACGATGAGTAGGATACACACGTGGATTTCCGGTGGACATGTGGCATATTTTGGCCGAAATATTAAATGGAACCAGCGGTCGCAACATTTAAACATAGTTGAGGTAGTGATTTGTTTCATTAAAGAGTTAAGGTACTAAAATGCAACATTACCGATAATTGCGGTATTGTTTATGCATTTTACTCATAGTTGTCTCTTATTATATAAGCAAAGATGCTTATCTAATCCATTTGCATGATATATTTATTATACGGAGTATTATTGAGACTAGGTGCTATCCGTTCACATATACGGAGTATGTTTTTGTGAGTTACGTGCATGAGCATTTTGATGATCATCCGTTTCCCTTATTTCAATCGGTGTACGTGTTTGTGAATCTAAATTTGTTTTAATTGTTCAATTTAATACGTGTTAATTTAGTGTGATTATTTAATGGAATATCAATTATACAAGTTTACTTCACTGTTATTTTTTCCTTTTGATTTTGCTTGTTTGTTTATTTGAATTTATCACTATATATTCTGATTCGTGTGCATATTAGTGAAACCTTTCATAATCCTTTATACTTTGTGTATATACTTTGTTTCTTCAAATTACTTTTGATCTTTGCATCCATCTGTTTTGTGTAAACAGAATGGGAGACGAATCAAACACTAATTTTCCAAAATTAACCCCGCTCACTACTGTCCTGGTCAGTTCATCTTATGGGGAGAAAATGTTGGCAGCAAAAAATTTTGTTTTATTTTACGACGTTGAATTTGGCTAAGTATCTCTCCGAAAGCCGACCTCTTCTAGAGGAAGGCGAGATTGATAAGGAAAAAGTGGTTGTGGTGGATGCATGGAAGTATTCGGATTTCTTGTGTAGAAATTATCTCTTAAACGGACTAGATGACTCCTTATACTCTGTGTATGCCGATATAAAGACGGCAAAAGAATTGTGGGAATCACTTGAGAAAAAATACAAGACCGAGGATGCCGGCAAAAAAAAAAAATATTGTCGGACATTTCTTGGACTTTAAAATGGTTGACCACAAATCAGTTGTTTCTCAAGTTGAAGAATTCCAACTTATTCTTCATGAAATTCACGCTGAGGGTATGTCCCTTAGCGAGTCCTTCCAAGTGGTGTTGGTAATTGAAAAGTTACCTCTCAAATGGAAAGACTTCAAGAATTACTTGAAGCATAAGCGTAAGGAAATGTCCCTAGAGGAGCTCATTGTCCGTTTAAGGATAGAGGAGGATAACCGCAAATCCGAGCATAAGGCTGGACGATCAAATTCCATGGAAGCTAAAACGAACATGGTGGAAGCGGGATCCAAGAAGGGGAAGAAGAGAAAGCACAGTGGCGAAGGAACAAGTGGAGGGAAGCCTTCGTCAAAGAAGTTCAAAGGAAAGTGCTATAATTGTGGCAAGCCCGGTCACCGTGCTAAGGACTGTCGTGCTCCTAAGAAAAAGAAGACCGGACAAGTCAATATTGTGGATGACCTCTCCGATGACATGGGTGAAATGAACCTATGTGCCGTGGTATCTCAATGCAATTTAGTGGGTAACACTAAAGAATGGTGCATTGATACTGGAGCTACCCGACATATTTGTGCTAACAAGTGGATGTTCACCGATTATCAACCAGTTGATAACGAGGAACAACTGTTTATGGGTAACTCCTCTACATCTAAAGCGGAAGGTCGCGTCAAAGTTGTCCTCAAAATGACAAGTGGGAAAACTCTTACCTTGAACGATGTGTTACATGTCCCTGACATACGCAAGAATCTAGTTTCGGGCTCCCTCCTTAGCAAGAATGGCTTTAAGCTAGTCTTTGTGGCTGATAAATTTGTACTTGCTAAAAATGATGTGTTTGTAGAGAAGGGTTATCTAAATGATGGTCTCTTCAAAATGAATGTACTTACCATTGTACCCAAACTTGTTGATAATAATAAAGTGGGTTCTTCTTACTTGGTTGATGTAACGCCCCTCTCAGGGTTAAAGGAAACGTTACTTAAACTTACTACTTTAAAAAAAACTTCAATATAACGACCGTTTGATTAAGAAATAACCCTGATAAAATCTCAAATATAACTGAAATATAACTCCAAATAAAAACTCAATAAATCTAGTTATCCCCTGTAAATGTGATAACCACCCGGATCCAGGAATTTATTCAAACTTCAAATCCTCAAATAAATTAATTAATAATAATCTCTTTATTTAACAATTGAAATACTGAACTAAATAATAACTAGCTAGAAGCCACCAAGGTCATTCCCGTTAACTCATCTTGGCACGTGTTCCACTCCATCATCATCTTCCTAGGCTTTGGCCTTACCCTTAGTATCTGTACATGCGAAGAAAGAAAACTAATAAGCTTTATGCTTAGTAAGTCACTATGGATCCACAAAAAAATATTTAGAAGTTTATACCAATTTATCAATAGATAGATTTAGACTATAAGCATGCACTAAACAGACAACTAACAAATAGCTTCTCAAATAAATTCTGGGAGAGATCCCCAAAAGCAAATATTTTCTAAAATAATTTCTCAAAACTGCTGGAGAGATCTCAAAATTTCTTTCACAAAACATCTCTTAAAACTTTCTGAAAGAGATCTCAAAACAACTTTCTGTAAAACTTTCTGAAAGAGATCTCATAAACTTTACTGTAAAACTCTTTGTGGCTAATTTTAACTGTGGGCCCGTGATATGTACTCAAAGGCGCCAATCCGACCGCTCGGGGGAGCGACCCACTAAACATATTGGACTCTCTGAAACTGATAAACTGATAATCTGAGGGAACTTGTTTCCGAGTACATATCACCTGATCTTTCACTTTAAATATTAGTTCTTTTTATGGTGACGTTTGAGTAAAAACATCATTAAAATCTTGAATTTTATCCAAAAAAATCATTAAAATCTTGAAATAAAGTACTGACATAATCTTGACTATGCCAGATAATAAACATAACTTGATACAACAATTACAATAATTCATCGAATAATTCACCAAGCTCACATAATAGCAAATAGTCTAAAATCATCTACTAAAAATTAACGAGACTTCTTTCTTTCATTTGGTTGAACAAACATGTACAAGTGATAGTGAACTTACCTGCTATCAGCTGAAATCAAATACTCAAATATGTGTGACACCTTGATAATGTCATCCGATAAGCTCTTCGTAAAACTCTTTAATTAAATATAAAAGTATAATGAGAACTCGTTATATTATTTAAACAGAACTCACAAACCATCTTACATTGCTCTACTGGAAGTTTCAATTTTTAA